AGGAAGGAAAGAAAGAAAGAAAGAAAGAAAGAAAGAAAGAAAGAAAAAGAAAAGAAAAAATACCAACTCATTTGTGTGTGTGATAGGATCTCACTATGTAGGAAAACTCAATGTGTGGACCAGGCTGGCCTTGAACTCTGTGAGTTCAAGGAAAAGCTTCCTTAGTGCTGAGATTAACGGTGTACCCCACCATGCTTGGCTCTGAGGCCCGCTCTTACCAAGAGTGAGAAAGAAGGGGGAATGAGAAAGACCCGAACAGTTGTGTGACAGTTTCCAGTGAGTCCACAGAAGCACGGCTCACCGGATAGGCAGAGGACAGTAGCATGCTGACTGAGGGGAAGGGAAGCCCACCACGCGCTGAACTTCTGGCACCTGTTCTCGCGTGATGGCTGCAGCCATCACATGAATGTAAAGGAGAAAGATACAGCGAAACTGTATCTGCTGCCAAGAGGCTTCACGAGTTTGATTAAACGGGCCAGTGTGACTAGTTCCTGCCCTTCTGGCCTGGGGAGAGGTTACCAGTGTAGACCACTGTGACCTGGCCTAGCTCATAACGGTGACCTCAGGTGCTCAGGTCATGAAACAGATCCCTCCGTCTGAATTGCACATTTTATCGACTTCCCAGGCTGAGGAAGGAAAGGGATGTCTTCCTGTGTTCTCGGGATCATTTGGGGGAGCCCGTTCAGGTATTAGGCAACTCACCTCTTCCGGCTACACCCTGACAAAAGCCAAGAGGACTTTGGTAAAAGTCAAAGTGTGTGTGCGTCTGGAGGCTGCAGGGGGGCCGGGGCCGGCAGAAAGGCCACCAGGGGACCCAGCTGCTATGCCAAGGGATCATTAAAGTGAAACGTGACTCCGCCCATAAAGGCGCATTTCTGTTCTCAATGGGAGGAATAAAAGCCAAGGTCTGGGCCACTGTGGACATTTCCTTTGGGCAGACAGGTGGGAAACCTGGCAGCCACACTATCTCAGCTGTGGTGTGTGCCCCTAAGAGACAATGATCTGCTCCACTCAACACTGTCAGCGCCCCCTTCCCACACGGCGGTTCACTTGAGGTGCTCTGGACACCGAGGCTCCTCTGGGCCGGGCCGCAGCAGGTGGAGCACAGCAAGGAGCACAGCAAGCAGCGGGGGCGTGAGGCTAGGATTTAATCGTTTGGGTTTTTTTTTTTTTTTTCATAGAAAAGGGAGCTCTGCTCAACAGGCAGAGAGGAGGGGCTGTGAGGCCTGGCTTGACAAACAACGATCAGGAAGGCGCCCTGCTACATTCTTATTGACTCAGGGAGGTAGCCAATAGGCTGGCAGCCTGGCGGGCCTGGTGCCACCAGCCTCCACTTGTGTTGAAGAACTCAACTGGAGCACAGGTTGGACAGGGATGCCATGGAAAAGGAACCTTTCCATTGAGAGCATGAGTGGAAGCCAACCACAGTGGGCCAGGACTACAACAGCTCTGCAAAAACCGAAGCTACCGTCACCCAGGGTGTGCAGGCCACCCAGGACTGAAACTAAAAACCCCATGACCACAACACTGATAGAAGGCCCAAGAAACTCGGCCAACGTTTCTGGACACTAACTAGAGAGCAGAGAGGTCAAAAGATTTCCCCAGAGACAAAATGAATAGGTCACCTTGAGGGTAGACTGTTTTTTGTGAGTGTGACACAGCGGTCCACTTAGGCACAGAAAATGGAAGCTCTGTTGTATATATGTTTGTCTTGCTTTGTTGAGATAGTTTTGCTAGGTAGATAGTTCTGCTGGCTGGCCTGAAACTCACCACGTAGGCCAAACTGGCTTCAACACGCAGATAAACAGTGTGGTGTATGCACCTTTAATCCCAGCTCTCAGAGGCAGACTACTGCTCTACACAGACAGTGCTAGACCAACCAGGACTGTGTAGAAAGACCCCATCTCAAGACAAGACACAAAAGCAGAAGCGCAACCCTTTGTAGACAGTTATCTTCCTAAATACTGGTCTGGAAAGAATTCTTAGCTGGAGCCACGAAAGGTTGGAGTGGCGGGGGGGGGGGTGGCACTATGAAAACAGCTGCGACAGGGCACTTGTTATTCCTGTTTGGGTAAGGCTTTGGCCCACAGTCCTCACCCAGGCCGGAGGAGGCCAGCAGACTGGATGTAGGGGACCGCACCCTGCTGTCATTTTACACATACGTCCTTCTTGTTTCAGTGTTGGGCAGGGTTCCTCCTGGCCTCTTCCTCCCTGGAGGCCACAGCAACTACAAAACTGCTTGGTGGTGGCTTACTGTCCTGTCTCAGTGGAGGAGGGACCATCGTGCCCCGTGTGACCTGGTTCCTTTTCATTGTTCCCTGGAATTAGGGCCCGTGGGGGCTACCACAAAGCTGATTCCACTTTCATCAGCTGTAAGCAGTCGACTGCCGGGCTCTGTTTGGCTTGCTGCCTCTTAACTGGCTGAGTCAGGAGAGAAGGAAACCTTTGGGGAGGCAGGGCTGTTCTATTGTGATCTGGGAGGGGTGTGTGTGTGTGTGTGTGTGTGTGTGTGTGTGTGTGTGTGTGTTTGAACAGGGTCTCACTTATCTCAGACTCCTCTTAACGCTCTCTATAAATAAGGGTGCATTTGAACTTCTGATCTTCCAATCTCTATCATGTGCTGGGACTATGTCTATGCCTGGTTTATGTAGAGCTGGGGATGAGCCCAGGGCTTTGGGTGTGCTTGGGCAAGCATTCCACCACTGTCCTATTCTTCAGACTTACACTTCTACAGATATTTTTCAAAGCTCATCAAGATGTACACTCAAGATTGGTAAATTAGCCCAGGCAGTGGGCCACACAGCTTTAATCCCAGCACTTGGGAGGCAGGGGCAGGTGGGTCTCTGAGTTCCAGGCCAGCCTGGTCTACAGAGTGAGTTCCAGGGGAGCCAGGTCTACACAGAGACACCCTGTCTTGAAAAACAAACAAACAAACAAACAAAAAAGACTTGTAAATTATACCTGAATTAAAAGACAGAGAGAACCACCAAGAGAGATATAAGAGATATAAGATATAAATAAACATTATTAGAAAATAATGTTTCTCACAAAAATAAAAATTCAATAGAAAAGTTAGGAAATAAATCTCCTCAAACACAAGGCAAGTACAAACAGCCACAGAGGATTATGTACTGGCAGAGATCTACATCTTAGCATCAGCATTCCAGCTGGTACGCACCACTAGAAAAATGGCCCTGAAAACGCTGCAAGAAATGGGAGTTAAATAACAAGATTGTGCTTTATATCTAGTTAAATCAACTGAAGAATTGTTCCAGGGTTACTTAGCTGCTGCCTTTTGACAGGGGAGCAGGTACAGTCTTTTTTTCTAAGAGTGGGAGGAGGCCACGAATCATCCATCATATCAGGGCTTATCTTTTGCCCAGGAAAACTCAGTGCAGCAAATCTGTCCAAAGATAGTGTCTCAGTCTTCAAGAGCTGCCGGAACAAAACACCATGAACTCAACAGCATATAAATAACAATTTACTTCTTACACGTCCGGAGAGTATGAGACGAGAGCAGGCTGGGGGCCACATACATGTGCATGTATGTGTGTGTGCGCATGTGTGTGTAGGTCCACTTTCTGGTATATAGTGTGTCCTAGCTGTGTGTCTTCACATAGTGGAAGAGATATAGCCCATATTTACTCGTGGGGTGCTTTAGATTTTTTCCTATGAGCCCCTCCCCGTGTGTGTGTGTGTGTGTGTGTGTGTGTGTGTGTGTGTGTGTGTGGTGTGACAACTGCTTTTATTTTACTGAGACAGGGTCTTGCTATGCAGCCCCGGCGAGCCTGGAACTCACCAAGATCTGCCTGTCCCTGCCTCTTGACCGCTGAGGGGCCAGGTTTCTCAGTGTTTTATAAGGACAGGATAATCTGCTTCTCTGCTTTCACAAACTAATCTTAATCTCACCAAAGCTCCACCTAGCGATATGATCAGATCGGGGGGACAGAACTTCAAGATGTGAGCCTGGGGTCAGAGATAGTCTGTATCAGAGAATATTTGTTTTGCTGTGTAGTTCAGGTTGGTGTCCGTTTGCCGGGCTCCTCTTGCCTCAACTTCCCAAGAGCTGGGCTTTCAGTTGGACTGTAATTTCACTAATCTTTCTTTCTTTTGTAGGGTCTCAATGTATAGCCCAGGGCAGCTTCCAATTTGAGCAATCCTCCTGTCTCAACTGAGTACTGGAATTTATACGGGTGTGCCATCATGGTTCACCAAACAATCTTTTTTTTTCTTTTTTTCCCTGTGAAGCTATGGCTGTCACTGTTCACCGGTTTAGGCTGGAACTCAAGTCTCTGCCTTCCACGTGCTGGGACTAGGTATGCTCTCCTACGCCCGGCCAAACATTAATCTCAAAAGGAAGAAAAAGGTGGAATTTGTGGAGCTGTTTCTTGCAGTACAACGAACCACACACCAATTTATGCTGCAAATTAGAGACCTGGTCGCCCAATAACGGAGTAACCCTTAACAGTATGATGACGCCCTTTGCCCTCTGTGGCAGGAAACCCAGGCCCACCGGGAACGCACAACCCCCAGAGGGAGGCAGCATCCCTTTTGCCTAAGAAACATCACTACGGCGCCAGGCGGGGAGGCCACA